AATTGGGAGACTCAGTTTCTTCCCAGTCCAGGCCTTGCCTTAGAATGGGAGGCAGCATCCTTACCAGCTTGGCCCCATCAGGTGACATTCCTATGTGGGTCTGCCTCATGTTTTACCACTACATAGTCATCTGCTTCCACAATTTTCATCTGTTTATATTGTTCATCTGTTAACAAACTGTAGTAGCAATTGTTATTTTCAGTAGATTTGTCTTTTCACCTTCATACTAGAGATATAAGGGATTTACACACTATTATACCATAGTAGAGTATACTGAATTTTACTACATGCTTACTTTCACTAGTGAGTTCATACTCTATGTTTTTGTGTTTCTAACCAGTGTTCTTTTATTTTTGGAAGGTTTTCAGAGAATTTTATTTACTTATAATTTATAAAAGAATTAACAAGATGTTATGAACACAATTTTGTTGGTAATAACTAGCAGAATAAAAATGAATTAATACAGAATGTCACTTGGTACATAACACACAGCAAAATGTAGTTCTAAGGCTAGCTTTATCCATTAATATGTTTATATCTCAACTTTTTTACATATTTAGAAATAAGACAATACATATTTACTATTTTAAATTATGCCTCCTCCTACATCAGATTATTACTTCAATTTTAAAGCCATCTGCAAATTAAATAGTCTTTACAGTATAATTCCAAAATACAAAGAATTTAACCACCAACTAGAACGCAAAATGCATAAAACATACCGCTATAAATTTAAAAAGAAAAATATTACACTAGCAACATCATGAATTAGGTTTTTTCAAAGAATATTGTATGAAGTAAGGTACATTAAATGCTTTGTAAGTCTAGAATACCTTTTATTTGCAGTCTTCATACAGTTTAAAACACCAAAGCACTGACTAAACAAGAAAGGACCATTTCAAAGTGAATAGTAGATGGTTATGTGTCATGTAAGGATAAAAGGAAGATGGACTATGTTCTTTGATTTGCAATCCTGTTCTTTATCCAAATCGTCCTGTGTTTCCATTATCCTTGAATGACATGATTCTTTACTGTGTTAAAAGAAAAAAGATCATCCTTTTACTGATGGAAGGCTTCTAATCTTATTCGAGTTGGATCTTCTGGATGTCTCAAGGCAATTCCATTACGTAGAAGCAGTTCAATATAAGGTGGCCAAAAGGAATCACTAATTTTGACATATGGATCATGTGGAACATCAAATAATCTATTTATAAGAATCTAGAAGAAAATACCATTTCAAATATATTTTACTAGGAGAAAAGATGAAATAACTATAAGAAAACAATAGTTTTTCACCAAAGAATATCGACTCTTTTCTCTTTAAACAACTATACTATAAAATTTACATACTCAACTATTTATACTATAACATTTTTTTTTTTGAGAGATTTTCACTGTAGGGCGTGTGCGCTCGCCAGACAGACAGAGAGAGACATAGAGACAGAAAGCGAGAAATCACCCCCCAGGGGGGATGGTCACGCCGCAATCCCTTCTCCTCCATTCTCCTCTC